GGGCTCGCAGCATGGCAGGGCCAGGGACGAGCCCCCCGGGAGCAAGGTGTGAGGGGCTGGGGGATGCCACGCGCTGCTGCTGGGTTGCAGCTACCACTCAGGAGCGGGACTAGTGCCGGTGCCTGGCAGTAATGAAATCCAGCCTGGCTGTGCAAGTAGAAAGGAGTTACGTGAGCCTGCTTTGCGGGGAGTAATTTGTCTAGGTCTGCAGCAGATGAGGGTGGGTTTTCAGTTACTGCTGACCTGGTTCTGATTTATCCCCATAACCTCAAAGTGGAAGGCTCTGCAGCCCGTTTCCCACTCCCCTGGGTCACAATTCTTGAGCACGTGTGTTGCAGGGGGGAGCCACCAACTTATCCTCCTCACCCCGGGAATGCAGGACACTGATCATGTGCTGCTGCAATTTTTGTGAAAGTCCTGGTGGAAAGGTGGAAAGCGACTTCGTAATCAGTTTAAAATTAATTGGATCGCAACCTGTACAAGCTTTAAAGCAGAGGCACTGTCGGTATTAATGAGGTGGTGCATATCCCTGCCTCCATTAGCACAGATGAACACATTTCGATGGACTGTTTATAATATGTTTGCTTAAAATTAACTGGTTAAGCATGTGTAATTAATGAATCCAGATCCTAAACCAGGTTTACTACAGACTGCAGACTCTAGCCAACTGTGAAAGAGTCCAAAGACAAAAACAAATAGTCAGCTTTATACTTCCTGTGAAAGAGGTACTGGTTTTGTTCAACGTTAAATTTTTGGTTATTCGTGTATCTGTGCTCTTCTCTAAGTGACAGCTGACGTGCAGTAAACATATTAAATACGGTGCTCCGTATTGGGTTCTGAGAATATTTCAAAAGTGGAAGCCTTAAACCCTGGGCTCCAAAAATCAGTTTTCGGTGCTTCAAATAACAGCCATGGTTTTCCAGAGCAGGAGAAGACTGGACTTCAGGGATACGGGTGTTCAACCTCTCTAAAAGGCAGCACTGTATCTGCAAGGCTGCGCACACAGCTGCTGCGCTGTGACACACCTCGCGCTGTCTGTACATTTATTGGTGCTGGTGTGACAGCAAATTTCAGAGGCTGGGATGGATTGCTTTCTCCAAGGTACAGATTATAAAAACAGGAGGAGCCAGCAGGGACAGGGCTGCTTGCCATCTGTTGAAACGAGAGCACATTTTTAAGCTGGAGGATATTTACTCATATTAAACTGAAGGGGTTTTATTTTTCAGGCACTTGTTTGTAGTTGTTGGTTGTTTCCAGATTTTCATTCAGTGTCTGTGCTTTAGATCTTCGGTTTATCAATAGACTTGTGTCATGTCTTTCAAGTGGCTGCGTTCAGAAGTAGGAAGCTCACCTTGCTCGCAGGGCGGCTCTCGCGCACTCCCTCGGGCGAGACAGCGCGATGGTTTCTGAGCATCACCAGCCTGTGTCTGTGCGCCCGTGTGACGGACCCAGAGCTGGATCGTATCTGCGTGCAGGCAGCCGGCGTGCATGTAGACGAATTCATTATAGAGATAAGCCTTAACTCTGATGGGCCTGAGGTTTTCTTGATGGATAACATGGAAACAAGTGCAATTGCTCTGCAATGCAGAGCAGGAGAGGGCCATGCGGCAGCCTCGTCCGTCCTCTGAACACAGGTCAGTGCAGCACAGGTGCCCCGTAGGAGGCCCTACCAATTACTGCTGTGTAAATCTGGCTTGTCCTTACAAAGATAGCGGGGCAGGCATGGTGGGAGTGTCATTTCAGTGCTTGCTGACTGAGCCAGGAGAAGTCTTTAACACTTGGGATGCATGAGATCTGGGCAGAGAGCTGCTCCTGTCAGCGTGGCGATCGCTTTTTCTGCCTGCTCCTTCTCTCGGTTTGGTTGGCTGTTTGGAAGCACTTGGCAGAGTGAACTCACGGGCTGTGTCAGCAGCTTCCAGGTTTGTTCCTAGAGGTGACGCTTGTGGGAGGAATATTTAGATGCTGTCCAGGCTGGTAAGGCAAACCTTAGCTTGGAAAGAGAAGGTGAATGTGAGAAGTCCGTTCAAGTGGAAGGATCACCTGCAGGTTCTGTTCTGTGGTGCAGCACTCCATGGCGTACGTGGTGTCTTATCTTCTCTGCGGAGGGTAGCAGGGAGTATTGGTTTATCGCAGCGCCTAATAACAAATCTCACACCGTGTACAGAGAGCTCCTGATAGAAAATTTCTCCAGTCACTGAATGGCACTGCACTGTCGGGTTTGCTGACATATATCTGTTCTTTGGCTCCAGTTCCTGCCGTAATTATCTGCCTAATATCTGGAGAGACCATAAATAACATTTATACCCTAATCTTGCATAAAAACCACGCTGTGTCCTGGGTTGTTTTTGCAGAAGAAACAGCTTTCAGAAAGAAGAGGCTGTGCATTAAATTCATCCCTCGAGATTCTACAGAGGCAGCAATCTGTGATATCCGAATCCTGGGCAGATCTAAACAAGCTCCTCCTCAGTACACGTTCATAGGGTAGGTACCCCTCACTCCAGAAGCTGGTGTCGTAAATTCCATTATAGCAAGGCTAAGCACCTTGCTTTCCTGTAATTACGAAGTGTGATAGTTTGCAAGAGCTGAAGCTTGTCATTAGAAAAGTCTGTATAAGTACGAGTGTAACCAAGTTTGATGTAGGAACTAACTAACCCCCTTTTTTCTGGTTAGGCTGGTTCCCACTAGTGAAAGTGTTTGTGAAACACATCAGCGCTTGGTACTAGTGCATGTGTGCACCGTTTGCTTGTAGCATTAATGTTTTCTGTGTTGGTCGCACAGGGAGCTGAACAACATGGGCATTTGGTACCGCATGGGCAGAGTTCCGCGCAACCACGAACCATCACAGCCTGCAACTCCTCCTTCCCAAGCACCATCTTCGACACCAGCTCCCAACCTGCCCAAGTAAGTTTTCTGCTTTCCAGCCCCTTCTGCTTGATGCTGCCCCATGTGTTGTCACTAACCTCACGTGTCAGAACCACGACCAGGGTCGCACACAGTATAAATGATTATGTGGCATGATCTGATAATGAGGGAATCTTTCAAGAGTCTGTCTACTGGAAGTTCCTTTAGCTGTTGTTGTATAAAGACGCGCAGGTGAAGCAGTCAGGAGAAAGAAAACCTGCAGAGGAAGGGAAACAGCAAACTACACGTCTTCTTTCCTTTCGTCTGTGTGGAATGGTGTAGTTTCCAGCACGTGCATGTGTGTCACCCCACAAGGTGGGCCAGAAGTGTAGCCAAGCCAATTTCTCTCCTTGACCAAAGGGAGGGAGAAGTGTTCATACAGATTTTGATGCATAGGGAACGATGTTTTGCTCGTTCTCCAGAACCAGTTTGCTGACGGTTTGAAGCGCTGGCCCTGTTTTTCCCTTTCTTGGACCCAACTGCTGTGCTCCAGTCGCGGAGCTGACGCTGAGCACGCAGAGCAGACGGCTCATCCTGCAGTGACTGACAGGAGCAGCACTTCTGGGCAGATGCTGCCGTGGTGTCTGTCCAGGTTGTTTTCCCCGTGTTACAGACAATATTTGCGTGTGTGTATAAATGTTTGCACTTGTGTGTATACTTCCGTGTAACAGTAGCCCTGTATTGACAGCTTTCTTGCTGGATTTCTCTAGACAAAACAGAATGTTGTTAAGCAACAAACCAACCCCGACAGAGGTTAACGTGAGCACTTTGTGAGAGCACAGCGTCCAGCTGAGACGGGCTCCTGCTGACGAGACGCATGGGCTGAGCTCCAGGCCAGGCCATTGCCGGGGACACCGCGTTCTCCGGGACCCTCTGGGCTTTTGCTTAATTAAGAGAATAGATCTTTTTGCACCAGACATTTGGTGTGCTGCAGGTGCATTCACAGTATTACAGTAACTGTTGAGAGCTAGACTTTTGGAGGAGGCATCGAAGGGGAATTCCAGGGGGATTGGTTTGTATACAAAGGTCATCGTGTCGTGTGGGTGGAAAATACTTGAGTCTTAGGGAGTTTTGATTTACAGGTCATGTCAGAGAGTGATGCTTTTAAGCTGCTGTAGCCTGTTCCCAAGAAAGCTGTCGGGTGTCTCCTAGGGCAGGTGTGTACTTTTGAGCCCTCACCCGTGACCTAGACTTAAATGTCCTGTTTTGCGGTGGCTTTGAGCTCTCCAAAGCGTTTGGGTGTTTCTCGAGCTGAGAGTTTTGCTCAGTCGCCTGCCGAGCCGTGTCACGCTGCTCGCTGTCCTGTGCTGTCAGTGAGCGGCAGACAGAGATGCTGTCTCGCTTCTCAAGCAGAGATGGAGGCAGAAGAGATGAAAAGCCAGCAGTCTTCTGGAGACTTCAGCCTGTCCCACCGGGAGCTGATCCGTTGTTTTGAAGCTCCACTGGACACAAGCTACATGCTAGCACAGGCCGTGTGAGATCAGAGAAAAAAGATATCTTGATTTTAGAGCACAGATCTTCATTTTCTCGCTGCAAGAAATTCCTGCCTGGGCAGATTTTCACAATAAAGAGAAAAAAATTATCATAGCGAGAGAATGTCAGTGGCAGTCCTTAATCCCTGGGTGCAGAAGGGTCACTTTGTGGCCGAGCGGGGAAGGCTGCAGAGCAGCGTCAGAGCTCTTGGGAGCAGGGCCAAAATTGGAGCTCATGGCATCAGCGACAGTCTGAAAAGAAGTGTTTACAAGGCTTATATATTTTATAACCTCTTGTTGTACAGTTTATGGTTTACAATGGCTGCAAGGAAATTGGATCAGTTTTGTTTTACTTGCCAAATAAAGCAAATGTCAAAATAGTCAATATAAAATGTATTCTAATTTGCCTGAGTTAAAACAGCCAGTATGCAGTGGAATAATTGCATGTTACATTAATGCCTCCTAGTAAAAACCACCTGTCTGTAGCCAGCTCCGCTCTCGTGCCCTGTGTGTGATTTACAGGTAACTTTTACACCACCAGCCTGATCATTCAAAGCATCTTTCATGTCTGCTTTGGTTTGTTTTTTTTAACTCTGATTATTTATTATCCAATATATTTTTTAAGAAATAGAAATGTATATAAAGGTGCATCCTGCAAATATTTCATTATTAAGGGCAACACATTCTGCCTTTTCTAATGCTTTAGCAGCAATGCGGTAAGTTAATCAATGCTTAATGTTTGTGGAAGATTGTAGCCACAAGTAACCTCTTATTTTTACGTCACCATAGAGAGATGAGATTATGTTGGCAGCCAGTTTGCTGTTTTATTCCATGTGGATATATCCTGACAGGAGCAGCAGCAAGTTACTGTGACGCTGCCGTGAGTGCCAAGAGCAAATCGGTGAGCAGTGCCGAATGGAGAGCGCTGTGGAGATGCTGCCTTTAGGCTGGTCAGATATTTAAGCCATTCTCTTCAGTTGCTGCCTAGCATTATAAAATAATTTTAAATCAAGAGGGTATGCTTGGGTGCTGCAGAACAATTCCTAACACTGGGTATAGATTAAACCAGTAAAACACACCAGTGAGTTTCTGCACAGCAAAACCTTCCTAAATGGAAGGACTTTTTACTGGGGGTGATGTTTATTTCTGCGCCGGCCACGCTTCCTCCTCTGATCCGTGGTGTGAGTTACTGATGGCGGCACATCCGAGTTCTGTCATGTGTCGGGGGTTTGACCTCCACAGGCTGCTGCTGCACGGCGCGTCGCTGCTTCCGCTGCCCGCGTTGTGGGGTTACAGCTCGCAGGCAGAGCTGCTCAAGGGGAGGCTTTGTTTGATATTCATGCTGGACTGCGTGTGTTATTTTTCAGCCGTTTCTTCTCCTTGGTGTTTCCTACTGCAGGCATCTGGCTTAACGGTCTCCAAGGCAGCCCTTGCACGTCCCAGGGAGGGTGCCATGCTGTGCCGTGGAGCACAGCTGTGCCATTGTGCAAGACTTCAAGCTGCTTTACTGTCTTCTCTCTCCAAATTCTGCGACAGCTTCTTGGCACTAATGGCAGCCTGGAGAAATGCACTTGCAGTTTCCCATCCTAGAAGGCTGCTGCTAAAGAGCTGCTTTTGTTGACTTGAGTCACCAGTGGGAGTTTAATGTAATGTTCCTCAGTACCTCGGCTCTGTGTTCGAGGCCAGCGCGCTCCAGAGCTGCGTGGTGATGTTGCTTTGGGGAACAAGAAGAGAATCAACCCAAAAGAGGGGCTGGTAACGGGTAACTCGTGGCCCTTTGCACACTCCTGCTTCACCCAGCCCGGGGATGGCGACTGCCAGTGCTGGGTCTTGAGGAAACGCCCGTGTGGGGAGTGTTTGAGCAGCGCCCTGGGGCTTGGCCCCTCCGTGTCACAAGCTCTGTTGGAGCAGGGTAGAGCAGGATCCGCGTGTTTCGTTCTCTTTGTGAATCCAGTTCCAGCTTTTGGGGAACAAGTTCCTCACTTCTGCGAATGCACACCGAGCCACTCTCGGACTGTTTTGCCTTGTGGCTGCCTGGGCCATGGCTCCCGTGGTGGCCGCAGTGCTTTGGGAGCCCGTGTGGCTGCTGTGGTTCAGGAGTGCGTTTCACATCCCTTCCCGAGGTGCTGCTGCAGGAGTCTCTGCCACTGTCACTCAGAGAGTCCTCTCGCAATTTGTCAGCTGCAAGCAGGATGTCAGTCAGTGCTGCTGAAGTGTGTTTTACGGTGACAGACATAATTGCACTTAACTTTTTGCGTGGATGTTATCAATCTGTGACGGATACTTTGGGAAATGGAGCACTCTGATTGCAGATGATGTGTCACAGGCGTTTAATCTTCCTCTCGCAGAGACCAGGATTCAGTCACAACTTTTACTTGTTGATGTCAGGTTTTGAAAATGTAGATTCGCACTGACCCTGGGAATTGTTCAGTCATTTAGTTTGCAAGGCTGTCATCTGAAAGGTTAACGTCTTACCAGGGAGAAGGAAGATCTTGCTGCAGTCCGCTTGTATTTGTATCGTGCGTTAGCGTGGCGGGGCGTTCAGGTTCAGAAGGGCAGCGCTCCTCCAGCTGCCTTCCCGGGATGCCTGTGCCACGGCCCCGCGGCCGCTCCAATTGAGCACCCCAGAAGCCTGAGCTGCAGGTCTTGGTGGGGCTCACGGTGCCCGCTGTGGTTTGGGGGGCAGAGTTGGTCGCTTGTGCTCTGGTCTGAGCACGGGTGAGCAAAACGGTGTCAACCTGGAGCTGAGCCTGGTGACCCAAGAGATGGCACAGCTGGTGGCACCGGGAGAGGCGGTCGATGTGGGAGCGCTGCAGCTCGGGGTGCAGCCCCAGTGGGACTGCGGGGCCGTGCTGGGCTGTGCCGTCCCTCTGGACTCTGCTGGGGGTCTGCCCCAGCCCGGGGGCAGTGCCTGGGAGCAGAGCAGCGCGTATCCCTCTCGCTGCTGCTGCCTCCTTGGGGGTCCGGAGGGCGCGGGGCTGCACGCCGTGCCAGAGCCGGGGCCCCAGCGTGCGTCTGCGGTGCTGTGCCTGCGGCCTGACCCGCATGGCTGATAAGCCACGGAACCAGCTCTTTCGTGCTGCAGCTCGCAGCTGTGGGGCTGTGGTGGGGCTGGCAGCCCTCCCTCCTCCCCTGTCCCCGTTCTGAGCACAGCCTGTGTCACCAGGCTCTCTGTTCTTGACATTACTTACCTGGCAGGAGTAGTGCAGCAAGGAAGTGCTGCTCTGGTTTTGATAAGGAGATAACAATTGCCCTACTTAAACCTCTGAATTAAGAGCAAGATGTGTAAATTTTCCTCCCATGCTCCCAATTAGCTTTTGAACAGTTAAGCTACCCCTCCTTAGAAAAGGGAAATGATTTGCTCCTGTTCCTCTGTTCCCAGTGGAGCTTAATGTTAAGGAATGTAAGAATTTCCTTTCTAGGCAGAGAAGTCTGATTTTTCAAATTGATTTATTAATGGTGTTTGAACTTTGTCGTGTAAGCTTGGAAAGTGATCAGTATGTGGCTTTCTGCTGGAGGCTGATGATGTGCC